AAAAAAATGGAGAATAACCAAGAAAAACGTTATGATGAAAACGGATTACTGAAAATTAATCCACCACCATTGAACATGAGATTTGGTGTGGAAGAAACACCATCACCTCCTCCAATTTCTGAATCAGAGATTGAAGAAACTAATATATGGGAAGAGATGAATGACTTTCTCAGCAAATCAACTGCGAATGCCATCGAGGTTCCTTCTGAGGTAATTTAAACTTTGAATTATTCAGTTTTATTGATGATTTCTATATTATTGAATGTTTATATCAATATGTAATATCTGCAGCCTGATAAAGAAATATCGACTGGTGATCCAAAAGAATGTTGCAAGAACAGAAAACACGATCTCCATCTAGATCTGGAGATAGGTTTGAAATGTATAGAATTCGGCTTTGTTAAGACAGAGATCCGGTACCTAAATACATCTCCGTGGGTAAGCTGTTACTATTCCATTAATACATTGATTTGTTTAACTAATATGTTTGAAGCTAACAACATTATATGTTTTTGAATCTTACAAGCACATAAGAATAAACGTGGAAGGAGAAACTTTGGAGTTTAGCTAAAATTATCTTTGTTTTTTTGTACCTTAATTATCTATCTTTATTGGAATTATCTAAGCATGTTGCTACAATAAATTGTATTATATTGATTCAAATAAAAAATAATTATTTTCCAAAATCACTTTCTCATATATGTGTATTGATTCGTAAGGTTATAAGCTCATCTGCTACATTGATTATAATCCACAGACATTAAAACATCGATAATTTATATAATATTTTACACTCAACTCTAAATGTTATGAGAAACGCTTAACGTCAATTGTCAGCATTGAAATTAAAACGTCAATCGAAATTAATTTCAATTTACTCTTACACGTAAAATTGTTAATAGATCAATAGTGAGCATTGGACCAAAAAATAAAGATCAATAGTGAGCATTGGATCAAAATTGCCTAAGAAGCGTTATAGTTGCATCGTTTGGCATAATTATAAATAACCAAATTCATAAAGGGGTAAGTAATAAATGTAATGTCAAAGTCTACTTACATAAATCGTTATGGTTCTAAAATTGTCATAATATGAAAAATGAATGTTACTATATTGTTGTAGTATAATTTGGCAATGTCTTATTATTATGGAAATGTGTAATATTCGATAGAAGAAAATGTCTATAAAGGAAGTAACCTTTCTAAAATCAAATGGATTCTATATATAGATGGTATATGTTATATCCAAAACTATACATATATACATGTAAAATATATAAACAATAAATACAATGATATTAAATGACAAATTGGCAATTAAACATTACCATAAATAAATACTAAATAAGTCATTACAAATATACGAAAGTAGGTTTAAATCTATCCTAGTTTTATGGGAAAATATTACATAATGGGAATGTTTAACAGTTACGGGAAAATATAAGTACATAATAAGGATTAAAATTATGGCTAGCTCGGATCTCCATGGATATCGGTAAAAGAAAGCCTGACCAAAAATGATTTCAAGTTAACAATTGAAAAAATATTAAAATAAATCATAAAATATTATATATATTAATACCAATTAGAAAAATTACCAGTCAAGATAATCGGAAACCTCTTTTATGTGAGGATTGAAAAGTATTTCAGAATGGTCTCCAGAAATCCAGAGCAGTCTTCCCAATGAGTTTTATGTCCATATCAACATAACTAAACCAAAAAATTATATTGCCAAAATTTTTGGCCTTTACATATGTACATATGTATGTACAATATTGCCAAAAAATTACCAAAAAATTATATTGCCAACATTAACAAAAATACATATGTACAATATAAGACAAATTATTGGCCTTTACATATATAGATGATAATATAAAACATCTTACTTCATGTCCCTTATTGAATGTCCAATTTGTGAAAAGGTCCAAAAATCATCTCGTAGGGATCATCAATGTCAGTACTTAATTCATCATCAACATAGATGATTACGCCGATCAAGTCTACAAAGAAAAATTTTAATTACACAATATTTATACTAATTCTTAAATTGAATAAATGTGAGAAGCCTAACCGATAGAGTACTCAGTAGAGAAATTCCCTCGGATAGTGGCATCAAATGGCATAAAAACTATCATATACTTACGATTGACTTGACAGGTCTTGTCTACAACAGTATCGGCGATCATGTTGATGAAGTGGTAGTTTATAGTATTTCTGAATGATCCGAACGCATTGACAACGTTGAAGAATTTGACATAATTCCATTCTCCTTCTTTAAACTTTGGACCGAGTGAAGGGATAGGATCCTGATCTATCGATGCCTTTATTTTGTAGCCCTAAATTCGTGAACCAAATAATCATTTCAAATATTCATGTGTTTAAATGTTCATAACATTTTCGTCACCGATGTTAAGATGCAATTCCTGGCGTTGATTATGGTAGTTTAAGTGTTCCCAAACTCGTAGAACTTTTATAAGAATTCTGGAGTCAGTTTTTGTGAGAGAAAGATAGCGAGGCATGTTTGAGAAAAATGGTTGTTTTCCTCAATTTTCAGTTTTTTTTCGTTAAGATGACGAGACGTTTTTTTACTTGGTCCTTTATATGTATAGCAAAGCAAGTATATGGTTTGAAAGGTTGTGCCGTTTTATAAAATTAGAATAAATTACAACCTTTGACATTTGTTGCACTACGTGAATTACGAACAAACCAAATTGGTTACATTTAATTCATAGGTATATTTAACTTTTATATTGATTAAATATATATAGAAAATATGTAAAGATAGTAGAAAAATGTCATATCTTGTACTGACTACTTCTCTTTAATTAAATCACTTACTTCATTTCATTAATTATAAATAATTAATGAGAGTACAATCCCAGAATTTATGTACTCTATTTTTTAATACAGACACAAATCACGGACCATACAAATTTTGAATATCATAGTTATTTTTTTATAAAAACAAATAAGTACGATTCAAGAAAAAATCCTACAATTAAATTGTTTGGATAAGTTATCTCAATCAGAATAATATATAAGTTAAGATTTTCAAGTTTAACACGATAAAATAAGAAATAGGAAACAATAATCTCTTTTACTGATAATGGTCTTCATATTCATCATTGACCGGAGGAAAATCAATGGAAGTTGCAAGCCTGAAATAATATTAGGATTTTTTATCATTATATATATATATATATATATATATATATATTTTTATAAATATTAAACTATAGGATACAATATCAAAGATGGAATAAACATACCTCAACCTTGTTCTTTCCACTTCTGGGGTAGGAGGATCCTCGAGAATATCAGATATGAATCATTCCGATTCAACTATCCATTCATCTAAATACATAGACATTCTCAGTATATGGGAAAAATATATATGTAAAACTTATAATTAATTAAAATATCAAATAATGATAGTTAGTTACCTCTCCATCTAGTGAAAGAGAAAAATTGCAATACAATAATATGCCTAGAAAACCTTTCACGATTCCTCCAAAGTTCTTCAAATTTCCTTGCCAAGTTATCCCAAGCAGTACATTTCAAATATTCTCCACAAATATTCTCCACTGTATATTTAAATCATTTATAATATTATTAATATACTTTAAAATTTGTAAACAATATACACATAACATATGTTTTGAGGATAAGTTGTACAGACCTGAAATCTTGAATTTTAAAACGAATAAGTGGACGTTGCGTGGGTGTGTCCGACGTATCGGACATAGGAACTCCTAACTGGAGTTTCTGAACAAATGTGACAACACCGAGAAGATCAACTGCAAAAATAAAAGACTGCCTTTAAATACATGTTGGACTTCCTTACATAAACGATTTAAAATAAAAAGTTGTAAGAAACATACCAAGATATCTATATGTATGAATAAATCTATATAAAATATTCATGAATGCACAAAAAGAGTATATTCCTCTGGAGGACTTCGGATCGGTTTCTCAACAATGGTATCCTCGAGGAAATGTATATGATAGTTGTTTGATGATATACTTGGATGAATCACTCTGTCAGTAACTTCAAAATTACCAAGAAAAACCAAATCTCCTTCAACCAATGCATACTTGAATTTGTCTATTATATCATATTGAATAGTAGACAGGATGCGATTGCCCTACACGGTTTATCAAAATAAATAACTAAGAAATACATTCCTAAAACATATATATGGTAAATATTTTCAAACCTCCAAAACTTACAAATTCATCTGCAAGAACTAACATCCGATTAGGTCGATCGAAGAGAGTATAATCATAATAATCTCTTAGTATCTGTACACAAATACGATATCCGCCGTTTGTCTTCTGAAGATCGGAAACTCTTTCACAAAGAGACATTCTTTGTTTTAGTTTTTTGTTAAGATTGAAGATGAAAGAGAATAAGGAAATGAATAGTTTTCTATGTGATGGAGTAAAACGGTTATGGTTTTAATATCGTCTTAATTGAAACTCTCGTTTAAATATGACAGTTGGTTGAACCAAAAATTTTAAATCACAAATTAAAGTTTAAAAAAATTGAATTCGGAAAAAAAATTGTAGGGCAAAATTCTAGCAACAAAATATGCAACAAAAAAAGTTTCACAAATACCGCAAAAAATTAAATTAGCTTCTCAAGTTCGTCAGAACTCGTAAGGATCATCATCAAAACTCATAAGGAGTATTTATTTAAACTACTCATATATTATACTTCTATTATTTTATGCAAATGAATTAAAATGTATAACATGTGACTGACGAACATAGTATACAAAACCCAAACATATTTTATTAATAATTCAAATTCTAGAAACAATTAACTAACCACACACAAAAAAATATCCGAATGCTCAAAATACTAAACCAAATATTGGAAAACATAAAGTTATTCAATAAAAAATTGAATAATAACAAATTCATAAACTCCAGAATATATGGGATCACATCTTCCCATTTTTGCCTCCCTCTTTGCCAACAACTTTACCACCACCACGTCATCGAGTTTGTCCCTTTGCAACACCTTCATTGGATTCACTTGTAAGAAAAGCGTTCACCAAAACATCATCACTCTTCAATGTATCCTCATCAATCACTTCATTAGCATATATCGTCTCCACACTATTCCCACTATTACATGACTTCTTAGACGATGAGGATGAGTCGACTGAATCTTTAGGATCATCACGCTCACGCTTTGATAAAGGAGTTTTGATATTGCTAGAAACATCATCCGAAGACTCTTGGCTATGTGTGTTCATCAATGATGCCTATAAATAATAAATTTTCAAGATATAGGATTGTCTCATAAATATAAAAAATACATTCACATCATATGAATTTTACCTGATCGTCAAAGTAAACTCTGATTACCCCCATCTTCAGATTCATTCGCATCATCAACGGTGGTAGTCAAAACCTGATTGTCTTTCCAAACCTTTCCGACCTTGTATGTATTACTACCACCGTAGAGATTTTCTTTCTCAACACAAATTAGAAACTGATAAGTCTTCCCAACCAAGTTTTGCAGTGCATCAGGAACAACATCCAGATCTTGTATCTATGTTGAAAAATAATAAGTATTGGGGAAATGATTTTTTAATATAAAACTAATTGAAATAAAATATATAAAGTGTATAATACCTCATCGTATGTCCTTTTTAAAATTTCATCAGCAGATTGGTTAACAATATTCTTTGCATTTGAATCAAAAAGAAAACACTTGATCTTGCTCGTGTTGTCCATTACACAAAGATGGAGTTTGTATCTACAATATATTTTAAATGTAAACATGTGATTATATGTTTTTGGCATACAATTTGTTATTTAGTAATTTATAAAATTTAGTTACCTCGCACTGACAGATGAAACTTTGGCATCACATGTTTCACATGAATAAAGCTTCTTAGTTTTATCACAAAATTTCTCGTCTTCGCGTTTTGGGATTTTGTAGACCTTTTTCCCACACTTAGTGCAAACCAAGTAAAACCATGACCAATCTGTATCAACCGCGTATACAGTACACATGTTTTTACATTTTCCAACCTGAATATTTAACAATAGAACAGTCACCATAATTGCATAAACTCTATTGATAAATTAACACATAAAAGTTTAGGTTTGAGTTATACCTTTAATTTAGTCGATACCATATATAAGGTTTTATACCCTTTAAGTATTTTATGTTATTAGTTATATACTAAAAAATCATTTCCCAAAGACATATCATTTTATCAACATATAATAAAGTTATGACAACTTTGTTATATACCTCCAGATAATCCTGCAGTTCAGCAATAGTCACCATTGGAAACTGATCAAAATTACTCTCATCATTATAAGAAATCCTCTGATGTGGCTTGCTACTCAAGAAAGTAATATTTCCGCCATTTACAGGTAAACTTCATATTGGAAAACAATTATTATTAATAATCACATTGTCAAAATTTTTGTTTGATATATAAATAAATTGTTTACCTTTTTTTGAGATCAATGACATCTGGATCGTTAAGATCTATGAGCACCTTAGAGGTTTGGAAAGAATTGGTAATTTGACGTTCACCTATGATAACTTAAACAAATAACCAAAATGCATTGTATTTTATGTTGAAACAACAATTTTGTAATTAAATATGTTTACCTCTAAACACATTGATTTTTTCAAAACAGATTACAATGATGACCCATGTTCGCCAACATTCTGACAAGCTGAATAGACTTGCTCGCCAAATTTACCCCAAAGTATGCATGGTAAGCGCTCTTCTCTATATATATATATAATACGGTTCAATTAGATTAGAGTAAATATTTAAAAGAATTAAAAATAACGTAAACGTAGTAAAAAATAACGTTAACCGTATATACTCACTTCACATTACACAAGTCGAACTCACACTTGCTTGTGTCCTTGTTCATGACAGGTATTGTTTCAAGTTCACGTACACTTTCAACTCGTCCAATAACATCTGGTATTTTGAAAAATGAAGTCAGATGAATACGTATATAAATATAATAAACTAACTATATAGATAAATGGAAACTCATCGATCAAAAAACTTATACTTTTGGAATCGTTCAAAATTGTATCATAATCTAAGAACTCGAAAAATCGACTGTCAGATCGATTAGCACTTTTGGTGACAACGGTGGATGAAATGAAGGACATCTTGAACTGATGCTTTGTGGCCCGGTATTGACCGGACACCTGGTTCAATGAAAAGTTCTCGATGAACTTCCATTCACCGACAACCATCAACCGCTCAAAACGATGCAACAGGTTTTTCTTGACGGTGATGTGGATTTTGGTACCCTGAAAATAAAAAATGTTTATAAGTAAACCATTAATAGTTAGTAGTACGAAAATGTAATTATACATCACTTGAACATACCATTTCATCTGCGAGAATTATTTTGAGAGATTCTCCACTCTTAGTCTGATATTGCTTCCAAGTGTGAAGCACCTTCACTTGCACCTTCCACCTAGTCTTGAATGGCTTTAAGTCAGCCAAAAGGGTTAACCTCATGTTGGAAGCCATTGCAAAGAATTGAACTGAAGTAAAAGTAGAGAAAGTTGTAGTTGATGTAGAGTGAAATGGAATACGGTAGTGTCGTATTTATAGTGAAACAGTATAGGGTTTTCGCAATACCGTTGAGCTGTATGTAATCTGGCGGCCATGTATATTTTTCTCAATTCAAATTGAACACAATATTGATTGGAAATAGCAAATCCTATATTTTTTGTAAAGTAGTTGTTATTGAGTATCTATACAGTGATCCGAAATAAATGGGATAGTATTCAATAACAAACTAATAGAATATTCTCATAGATTGAGATTTAGCAATAGCTCAAAATAAAATTTCCAGATTTTATACAATGTCGTTAAGAGGGAAGTTACATTGGCGGCTAAGTATATATGTTCAAATTTAAATTAATACAATATTTTGGCAAATAACTAAATACGTCATTCTTGGAAGTTGTTATTATTGTGTTAATAATCGGGTATGCGAGAAAAAAGATTTGAAGATTTGTATATTTTCTCTTATATTTTGAATTCAAGATTCTCTCATGCGTAAAATGTTCTTAATATGTAAATATATTTATTGCGATATCTATTTCATTTATCCCGATTATTAAGAGCTAAATATTTCAAAGGAATTACATCTTCAAAAATAATGAATTGCCTAAAATAACAAAACGGGTCAAATTAAAGGATCTGCGTCCTTTTAAACAGGTCAAAATAAAAGACACGGATCCTCTTTGGTTTCAGTTTTTTTTTTTTTCGTGGAATACATTTTTTATAATGGCATTTCATGTAATATAACACGTAATACTGAAGTCAATTTCCTAAATGTACTTCTCTTTTAATAGTGTAAGATATGTTTTTTTATTTATAGTTTTTTTAATGTTAATACTATTACAGTTTTTTAAAACAAAATGAAATTTTAAACATCATAATACCTTACATCTTTATTGTAATTGTATCTTAAACATTTATATATTATTACTACATAATATTCTTCTACTATATATAACAAATAAAATCATATATTTTACATATGTGGTTAAAACTATAAAAAAATATGGCCCTAACAACTAAAATAAATTTAGGTGGCCTAACGCAATTGCCTTTTTTAATACAAGCAAGGCACGGCTCTGCTTCCAAGAGGACCTGTAAGAAGAAGAAGCACATAATAAAGGTGACTTGTAAGAAAAAGAAAAAAAAAAGATTACCAAGAGGAGATATCAGAGAGTATCTGAGAAGCTAGGGGGTGAAATTCTCATGTGTATCATTATAGTGATGAAATAACCTCTTAAGTTATTCTCTCATATTAGTAGTGGTCTCCTTTCTTTGAATGAAATGTGTTATCTCATGGTACCCTTAATTGTGAATAAGAAAAATGAATAATCGACCAATGAGAATTGAGAAAGTTCAGCTAATCAGAAGTTTTGGTGGGAATTGTCGACCAATAGAAAACAAAGAGATTTCAGCCAATAGAAACATATCGCGGACAAGCCAAGTGGTCCTCTCTAAAACTTGTTATCCCCATATTACCCTTAATTTCGGTGAATTGCAAAAATGAGTTTTTACCCAATGAGAATTTGATAATTTCATCCAATCAAAAGTGTTGGTAGAAAATGTCGACCAATATGAAATAGGTAGGTTTCAGCCAATAAAAACATTTCGAACCAAAATTTCAGCAAATCAGAAATCAGGTCGACTCTGCTCTCTCTTATTAATCGATTGGGTTTGCTGAAATAGAAAACTGGGTTTCCAACATCGACTCATGATTTAATTCGGGAAATTTGACGAAGCTTTTCTACTTCCATTCAAACGCCGAAGCACCAAGTAAGTTATTCTTCTTCCTCGGCCTCTGTATTTTATTGAGAAGTTGTTAGTTGATTAGATGTTTCCCATGAACAATTGGGTTGGGATATAATTTCGATTTACGAAATAGGGCATTTCAAAATGGGGGAAAGTTCATTTTTTATTCACATTGCGTCTCGTATGCTTTTAATGGACTGTTGATGTTTAATCCTAAGTAGATTCTAGTTGTAGACCAAATTAGCGGATTCAGGATAACTAGAACAATTTGGTAATATTAGGAGTTTGCGTATAACTCGGAACAAGTGGTATTAATGAGTTAAGTTGATATGCAGTGTTTAAATTTGTTTTTTTTTTCACAACACAATGATAACAAACATACTGTTTGATTGTACCGATGATAAATGGATTTCAAGAAAAGTTTCCATGTACAATATAATGTTTAAGACATCAAACTTAGAGGTGATAAGCTATTCCGATTTAGTGGGTAAGATATGCAGGAAAGTTGGGATAGGGAAATCGTCGACAAAGTTGAAACTGAGTTATATTCCGGTAGTAGTGCAAACGAAGAAACAGTGGTATATTTTCGATGACGATGATTTTGGTATCTATCTGACGTCCTTCGATAAAGAGGGATGCATAAATGTCTTGCACGTAGAGGTCATCAATGTAGATGGAGTATCTGAGGTGGCCGAGAAAGTTTCACGTGTAGAGATGGTAAGTCGTGTTGATGTGAATGTCAGGGAGGTGAGCACAGCTAATAATATAGCCAGTGATGGCGTTTTTGTCGACCGCAATGCTGAATTTAATGATGGTGCTATTGTTATTTACACAGGAAACGGTTCAACAGAATAACAACATGTGCCAGTGATGGAGAATGAAGTTGTGAATTTATCTCGTGAGAATGAGGAAAACGGTGGAGATCGAGATAACATAAGTCAAAAATATCGAATGCTTGATATTGTTGATCCTTGATAACACCGTATTTGTACCCAATTTCACCATTGATTTCAAATGCCTTTTCAAAGGTTTTAATCAGTTTTAGGAACTTTTATTATGATTTCTATGTATTTGTAGTTTCAAGGCTCTTTTCAGAAAACTTAGGGAAAATGATGGCAAAATGGAAGAAATCCACATTTTCAGCTCAGAGTCAGACCGTCAAAAGTTCAGCCTCAAATGAAGACTTTCTCACCGTCTGATCCATATCAAATTTGGAGAAAATCAAGAGGAGACAACCAGCTTTCCATAGCACTTTACATCACAAAGATCCAATGGTGCAATCAAAATATACATGGAGAACAAGTTGACCAAATTCACCGGCTCCAGAAGACTCTCACCAGCGGCAAACATGCATTTTACCTGTCTTGGAAGACTTTCACCCCCGATGGACCTAATGACGAGCCACAAGGCCCAACAACAAAGCCCACTTCGCCATTTCTCTTCAGAGAAGCCCTAAATGAGACCTGGAAGACCTTAGGATCTATAAATAAATTTCTTAGCAGTCCTAAACTGGTGTGTGCTCCTGTAATGAGATTTTAAGCCACCAAACTTTGTTTTTCTAGGGGTAGGCGATGGAGATGGGGATTCTTCCCCTGATCCATTGTTCTTTCTTCTTTCTATCTAATTAACTTTTCTGTTTCATCTTTTGCATTCTTTCATGTCTTTTATCATTCCTTGCATCATGTAGATTTATCTCAGAGAGTCAAGTTGTTTGAAGAGTTTTTGATAGGCATACATATCGATTAGGATTTCTAAGTTTCTAGACCATATTCTGGATCTCATCTCTTCTAAGTTGTTCATATTGCATGAGAGTAGATTCATGACCTATTCTCTGAGCCTAGGATCGATCAGAGCCACGAGAGTGCTGTATCAGATCATCCATACCTAGCTTCAGAAGAACGTAGTCGCTATAGGAGTCGAGAGCTACCTGTAGGAAGATGTGAGCAGACGAATTCAATATTTAATGCATGATCTTAGTTCTGACATGAGAGTGAGAGTTAATTGTCAGATCTGAGTGATTAGTTGATTAAGATGGCAAGAAATGGTTAATCATACACATGTCTATTCTAGCTCCATGCAGATCTCAGAAACAGATGAAGATAAATCGCCCGGAAGCTAATTGAAAATGCCACCAAACATCGATTAGAGTAACGAAGAAGTCTAAATCGCCACCTATGACTTTAGAGTCTATAGTTTGAGTCGCTATGTTTAAGATAGTCTTTTAACAATTCATTTTGCATTGCATCTTATTTCTTGTGAATATTAGATTAGGTTTAGTTTGGATTCTTAACCAAAAACCCCAAATCCCATGAGTTTATGACTTTGCTTACTTTTCCAGTTTGTTGTTTCTTGCAGATTAGACATCATCCCTATGGATCGACACCCTAAGTCCTACAACGTACATCTGTGCACTTGCAGACACTAGGGTTATATAAATTTAAAAATTTTTTAGGACCAATGGGATTGTTAAAAACAAACCCTAGGCCCACAAGCCCATCAATCCTCCAGAATGTGTAGAAGAACAACGTATTGAACGTGAATGGGAAGATGGTTTGAGTCTGAGAGTAGGTGCAGAGTTTAGCTGTAAGCATGATCTAATAGATTTAGCTTACAGAGGTTCTCATAAGCATTGTTTTTGCATCACTGTACACAAGTCTGATAAGAGTCGATACTATGTGAAATGCGATCAAGCTGAAGCTAGATATCCTGTAACTGGTATATAAATGCCGCTAGGACAGCTCACTCAAATATTTTCACGTTTAGAGTATATAGGAAAATGCATTCTTGCTCTCGGACTTCTGCTTGTACAAGCAGCAAACGAAGGAAAGGCACACCTGGATTAGTAGCAGCAGTTGTTAGTAAAACTTACCCAGGTCGATTAAAACCGCCAACTCCTAAAGCTATCATGCTTTTGGTTCAAACAAAAAGGTCATGTGGAAGTATCATACTCTACGGCATGGAGAGGCGGGCAGAAAGCTATAAGTTATGTTTGTGGTACTCCATAAGAGAGTTTCGAGCATCTGCATTCATATTTGTACATGCTAGAGCAGGTTAATCCGGGTGCAACATCAAGTGTTGAAGTGGATGAATTTGGTAGATTCAAGTACTTATTCGTTGCTCTGGGTCCTACAATTGAAGGGTTTGTGGCAATGAGAAAAGTGATAATTGTTGATGCAACTTTTTTTGAAGAATGGATTTGGTGGATGCCTTGT